GTATATAAAATGAACAAAATCAGTAATTTATTCAATATAATAGAATGGTCTTCTATTTCACTGAGTGACAAGCAATCGTCGAAATAGTATATGACACCGAACTATTTAGTCGATTTACATTTGAAATGAAGATAGGAATGAAAATTAGAAAGAATTATAAAATTATGAGGAATCTCTACTGATGGTGTGATTATTTCAGTACAACCGTAGAAAATCTTTTTCAAGTTATTTTTAGTTCACATTCGGTTCGTAAAATTCAAATGATGGAAACTGCTTTATGATTTCTAATTACAATTGTATGATAAAAGGCTAAAGAGGTTTTCGCCTTGGTTTTTCCCGTAGAATCGATTGCCGTAAATAGTTTTTCAAAAAACTAAAACTTTTGTCAATTTCTTTAAATAACTTTTTATAAACAATTGGAAATGCAAAAAGAAAAAACACGTGTAAATTATTTTTGAGCTATAACATGAACCCAATAGTTATTTCAAGGCTATCTCGACTAGATTCGGCTTGGGATACAACGAGGTCAGCATCACTTCTCAGTTTCAAATTGTTTATAACGAAATTACACCAACAAAATCGAGTCTGACAAAAAAACGCTACAGAGGTTTTCGCCTTGGTTTTTCCCGTAGAACCGATTGCCGTAAATAGTTTTTCAAAAAACTAAAACTTTTGTCAATTTGTTTAAATAACTTTTTATAAACAATTGGAAATGCAAAAAGAAAAAACTCGTGTAAATTATTTTTGAGCTATAAGATGAACTCAATAGTTATTTCAAGGCTATCTCTACCAGATTCGGCTTGGGTATTAATGGGTTAAAACAAATTCTTACTCATTAACACGACAGACCACGAGAGTACAAACAATATTATAAATAATAGGTGATATTAACATTACACATATAAAAATGTTAAATTAAAGTATTCTTACAAAATATTTTAAAGTTCACTAGGATTTTCTGTCACTTCGTATTTAAGAAAATAATGGAAGATTATGATCTCGAAGGTATTTCCAAGATTATTTCAATGGACACTATTTTCCTCAAGCTTAGGAACATGTATTATTATTATTAACAATATTTAGAGCTGAAAACTTTCCAATAATATAAGTAAATTTATTTTTAAACTTGTTACGAAGATCAGAAATATTCTTCAATACCGTCGAGCGACGGCAACAGCCACGCGCAGCAGCAAATACACTACCAGTTCATAACAGTAACCACAGCAGGAAGCGGTAACAAGAATAACAGCAGCCAAGATCGCGAGTTTGTCAATACTACAGACGTGTTAGTATGAGCGAGTCGAAGCTCTTGTGAAGTGAGTAGTTCCAAAAAAGTCGCGAGGTAGAACCGGTCTTATCGAGCGCGTGATTGACATACAGGGCATCAATACACAAAATGGAAAAAACCAGCTATGCATTGATTTGCGACCTATCAGCAAAGTCACACGAATCGATGCACTAGCATCTGGAGTAGACAACATTTTAGATGGACTGCGAGGGTTGTAATTCATTTCGAAAATTGATTTGAAGGACACCTACTTGCAAATGCCTTGTTAGAAAAGAGTAAGTAGTACACGGCTTTCAGCGCTCCGGATTGTGGATTCTAGAAGTCATCTATATGATCTTCGAACTGCTTAATGTACAGGCGACATTCGCAAGGCTCATTGAAGTTTTATTTGGCTCTAGTTACTAGCCTTACGTGTTTAAATATCTGAATAACGTGATCATGCTTACGGAGACCTTTGAAGAAAATCTGGTTTGTTTAGAAAAGGCGTTAGCATGAATCAATGACGCAAACCTGGAGATCAACGTGGAAAAGTGCAAGTATGGTTGTTTGAGCATGACTTTTCTTGGCTATATGTCTGTGTCCGGACCTCGAATGAGTAAAAGCAGTGCTAAAATAACCTGCGCCCTTATAACAGTCAAAGCAAGTATCGGAGCAAGTTCACGAAAATTAAAAACGTCAGACTCAGAGGACGAGTGACGTCATACGTAAATAGTAGCCAATTTGCATATATATAAATAACATTAAGTGTTTATAGGATTTAAACTGACCTTACGGTTTACACAGAGTGTTTTGATTTTTGTTTTTTAAATTTGTTTTGTATGTGATATGAAGTGACGAAAGAGCGTAAATATAGCTTAGAATACGAATTTGAGATTTGAGAATTCTCACGAAGTGAATCTCGAAATAGCAAAATAGTCTATAAATTTTAGCAATGCTATTAATTAAAGCGAAAAAGAGAAATAATTAAAAATTATATCTAAAATGTAACGTAAGAACAATGAAATTTCAAAGGATAAATTAATTTCAATAAAATTAACAATTAAATTGGCTTATGAATCGTAAGAGATATTAAAATAGTAGAGATAAATAGTAAATTATTAAACTATATGGAAGAACTAAGAATAAGCAAGGTAATATCCGAAATACTCGAAAGTTCTCGTGCGAACTGTGAAAAGATTGTGTAAAATTTGATGGGGCGTAGCCGCGAATCCTCGCCCATGTATAAATACGCCTGCGTTTGCCGCAAAGGAATTCTTTCCTCTCTTTGCGCGCAACACGGACAGTGACTGGTGATTTACTAAACGATTAGAACGTACTCTGATCTAAATTCAATCATTTGCCACTACTTCGCCTAGCGACCATCCTTTTTTAACAGCATCACAAGGACAACTCGTGGGGAAATATATTTCTCTACGAGATAGATCCTTTGAGTGTTTCCTTACAAAATTTACTTAATTATTTTATAGTCCAGAGTGTCTGCATAAGAATTCTCGGCATATATCCAGGTGCCTCGCCTGACGTTAGGTCGAGACTTGTGCGGATTCTTGTAAGACATTATGAGAGTATACTCTGTTTGCCTAAACCAGAAATTGTTCTCGTCAAATTAAATAAATAAGGTAGAGAGTGACTCTGAATCAATGTTACGGTATTACGTAGACTTCTTTTCCTATGACTGTTAACATTGCCTCTGGGACATACGTCGTACCATTGCTAATAGTTTCTCATGTTTATTTTATCGCGGACACCTATTAGTTAAACTTAGTTTATTAACTATAGTCAATATCGAATATCATAAGATACTATCGATAAAAATATTTTTTTTACGTCATTATTCCTTATATAAAAGTAAATATATTGAAACGCGAAAACTCAAATTGTCACTTAATACTATATCAATTAATATCGGATATGAACTATTAAAGAAAATGTGTAAGTTCTAGCCACTTTGGTGAAACTTTACATCCTAGAATGTGAAACAATTGAGATGTTTTTTAAGTATTACGGGTTGGTAGTCTCGGTTCATCGAACACTAGAGTGAGATCAAGACGCCGCTGACAAAGTTGCTTCATAAGAGGATGCACTGGGACTGGACATGTGAGAAGCAAACTACTTTCGAGCAGTTGAAGTTTGCTGCTACGGAGGCTATGGCGCTAGTGAGGCCAGACCTTAATAAGCCCTTCCAAGTCAATTGCGTTGCATCATCCTATGTACTGGATACATGTTTGATGCAAAAGAGCGACGATAGCTACGATCATGCCATCTACTATGCAAGTCGTATGTTGAACGATAACGAGCGAAATTATACGGGTTCCCAGCTGAAATATTTAGCTTTTCTTTTAGCAATTAAAAAATTCAGACTGTCTATCAAGGGCGCGTATTTTACTGCTGTCTTTACTATGGTTTTGACTTGGCTGCGGAGAAAGAAAGACCTACCCGGTGGCTTGCAAGATGAGTGTTTGAGTTGTAGCAATTGGACTTTGAATTAGTCTACTATAAGAATATTCTTCCTCAAAGCCCAAACGCGCTATCTCGCGAGTACGAAGAAGCAGAATAAGTTGTTTCTTCAAAGCCATGAACCAAGTACAGTAAAACCCAAGGAAGCAAACGTCATACAAAACAAAGCACCTCCGATATTTGTTTATTACGTCGAGAATATACGCCCACTAGAAAATTTTCTAAAGACAGTAACCAAAGACAATGACACTTTAAAAGTGCTAGGTTATAACAAAGTGAAAATACAGCCGACAACGTCTAAAAAATACCTGCTGATCGTAAGCGCACTAAAAGATAAAAACACTCAATTCTATACTTATCAGCGCAAAGAGGACAAAGGTTTAAGTCACCTTGCGAATTATTCATCTATCAGTTAACATTGAAGATATAAAAAAAGCTATAGAAAAATACGGAAGAATATCAAGATGATAAGTATTCGCTATATGCTACACCGAGTCACACAACTTCTGATCCTATTATTTACAGTTGAAATTGAACATGATGACAAGAGCCAAGATATTTATGAAATTAACAGACTACTGAACACAGTAATGAAATTCGAACCACCAAATGTAAAAAAAGACATCCCTCAATGTCAAAATTGCCAAGAATTCGGAAACACTAAAAACTACTGCTACAAAAGAGCAGTATGTGTTAAATGTGCACAAAACCATAAAACTACGGATGTCCAATTAAAGGAAAAATCAAAGAAGTAATATATGCAAACTGTGAAGGTAACCACACTGCAAGCTATAAAGGATGTTCATTTCGTAAAGAGTTGCAATAAAAATTATTTACTAGATTCAGAGTAAAATCAGCCTAATTTAAATAAAAGTGTAAACAGATTTAGTCCAAACACATCATTGCCACTGTCAACATTTCAAGTGTTTTGGAGCACTTAATTCCATTTTTTACACAAAATTTTATGTAAACTCTTTGATCCATTGTTTTCGATGGAAAATCACCGAGTACAAAAAATACGTCTAACGTTTCTGTCTCGAAAAAAAGAAACATACAAACTGGCTGAAAATGTGAGCATATGTGAGGGACATGTATACCAACATAATAAAAAAAAATATCAATGATTGAATATACATAGCCCGCCCAATTTCAAAATTCCCTCGTATACCAATAAATGCAGTGAAATTAAAAGAAATACTGTAAATAATTAATAATAATTAGCTTTGATTATTAGCTTCAATAGTAATACAAAGGATATCAGTCCGTAAATTAAATGTAACAAATCCAAGATCGTTCCTTTCTCTTGATGCACTGTAGTCTGGAACATTTTTCCTGAAATAATTAATGTGCAATGAGAATTAAGAAGCATAAACTTTCGTGTGATGTAATAAATATTTAATTAAAAAATTGTATTCATATTGATTTATGTAATGTATATGACGCATATTCCACACATGAAATATTTCAATATTAATCTTTTAAGAAATATTTCGCTGAAATATTTCTGAAAGGTTCCAAAAATAGCCCAGTAATATTTCGTAGAAATATTTTAAAGAAATTTTTCTCAAACATATTAAAAATATTCTGTTAAAAATTTTCCATGGATGATTCTGAAAATATTTTATGAAATATTTTGAAAGTTTAAAGAAATATTATGAAATATTAATTAAAGATCTTTTAGAAATATTATTTGAAACCTGGCTGAAAGCTTTCGCAAAATATTTCTGTGAAATATTTCCGAAAGATTTCTGAAATGTATCATTGAAATACAACTTATTGATTTTGTCGCTCTAGCATCGCAAGTGCTACCGAATCGCGAATGGATCGACTAACCGAATCAACTACCGTTGCAAAATTAATAATTTTATTTTTTTTACTTTTTACTCAATTTTGTATTTTTTAAAAATTAATTATATGGATACACTTAAACCTTTATTTTCGTTAAACAAAATTTTATTGAATAAATTCAAAGTTGATACCCCTAAGATGCACACGGTACTCGTGCGAAATTCTGAGCGACAAAATCTTTACGTTTTCTGCAGAGCCATCATGTTAAAAAACAGTTTTTTTCAAAACTAATCTCTTTTTGTAAATTTCTAAAAAGAAATTACTGACAGCAGCTTTTGAAATTCAATTTGCGACATAACGCCCCCCAGACCACATTTATCTTTCCCAGAAGTCGCTCGGCTAGTGACTCTTGTACAGGAGGGGTACAGATATCGGTAGGTTGGTGAACAAGTCGGTGTATATGCTTCGGTTGTTTCTCATGCGTATAACCGATTCCTGGAAACAAATGCATATGAACGACGTGTTGGACAAGGCCGCCAACAACCAACGACTCTTCGAGACGACCGGGCAATTATTCGACAGGATACTCAAGACCCTTCTGTCTCAGCAAACGTCATCGCCTGATAGTTCCCAAACCGTCAACAACAACGACAGCAGCAACAATAATAACGACAACGACGACAGACACAAAACATTTCTCGATCGACGATAAGACGTCGTCTTTGCGAAGCTGGACTCCGTGCTTGAACTGCTGCTCGTAGACCGATGTTGACCGTTGCACATCACAGAGCTCGTCTGCAGTACGCTCGCGACCATGTAAACTGCCCAATAAGAAATTGGAACAATGTTTTTTTCTCTGACGAGTCTTGACTTTTCCTGTATGGAAACGACCGCAGATCTTAAGCTTGGCATCAAACAGATTAACATTATGGACAACGGCTTATTCGGCCCATAGCTGCTTACGGTGGAGGATCGGTGATGGTTTGGGCTGCAGTTTTGAGGGATTCTCGAACTCCTTTAGTGATTGTTCGAGAAACTCGGAATTCTAGGAATTATATCGACCGAATAGGAGAAGATTTATTTTTATGCAGGATAATGCTAGGCCTCATACGGCGGATACCATCTGTCAATTCTTTCAGTGAAACAACATTAGATTGTTGAGACATCCTACAATGATTCTTAATCTGAATCCTATAGAGCACGTCTAGGATATAACAGGCCGCCGATTGCGTCAAAATTACCCGAGCTTGAACAATATAGCAACATTAGAGAACGCTTTGACCAGAGTTTGACGTTAGATCCCTCAACGGATGACCCGAAATTGCATTTCGAATATGTGACAAAGATTGCAAGTTGTGATTAGGGGTAGAAGCGGGAACACTCGATGCTGATACGGTACACACACACGCGCGCGCGCTTACATACTTTACAAATTTTACGGAATTTTTTTAATCGTAATAAAATTTTTTTTGGAAATTTTCGAAATTTTTGACAAATTTCTTTTGGATTTTTTTTTTCTTGATAATTAATCTTTAAAAAATACAAAATTGAGTAAAAAGTATAAAAATAATGAAATTAATGATTTTTATAAAAAATTAGGTTGAGTTTAAGAAACCAAAACCTTGTTCCCTTAATTTTTTCAAAATTTCAATCAATTGGTCCAGGAAAACCGCTGAACCGATCGATCTACCAATTGAGGGGGGGGCCTTTGGGATCCATTAAGCTGTAAAATATTCTTCTAACCAGAGCTTTCCTCCCAAGATTGAGGAAAATACAGTCGATTAACCAAAAAAAAACGCAAAATGGCATTTTTTAGTTTTTTATTGCGTTAACGTTACTATTACGTGACGTCTTATTATGTTACAAATATATACTATCGAATAAAACCTTGCTCTCGTTCGGACTTCCGTTCGGACATAGCATAGCTAGCAGTATTCGTGTGCGCGACTCGATGGGAATGAGCGGCAGAGGCTGATTCACGCTGAGCCAGCATGCTGGGACTGCATGCTGCAGTCAGCGTGCTTAGCTAGGTAAGACGACCCGCTACGAGAAGCGTAAACATCCGAAGCATATACGCGAGAGAGAGACGGTATGCTAGGGACAAAGGCTATATAATAAGCCAGCGAAAACAGAGCGGTAGAATTAGTCAGTTACAAGCGAGTGCTCAATTAAGAAGGCCACATATTCTTTTCCTACTGAAACTAAAACTATAATAAAAGTCTGAGTTGTTTTAATTGTTTTGAGTTATAATCAAAAATTAGAAGTATCGAGTGCGATTGCTTCAATAATTTTACATAAGCAGAAAATCACAGGAATTATCATTTTTATTTAGCGTGTTACTACGTTATTAGATAAAGAAGATGTTAGATAAATAAAATCATAGCAACTATCATTGTCTTGCGCATTACTACAGCATTGTAAAAACATATTGGACCGATTGAATCTGACCAGATTAAAAGGAAAGGTGATTGCCCATATCACGAACCGAATAATAATTTGGACCAAATTATATTTACTGTAATAATACGAAGTGAGTAATACTATTATATTTTTTATGTAACCAAAAAAAAATACTAGATATCGCAACGCGAAAATTACGCGTCTGAGGATACATATATATTCTGCTATTCTGCTTAATTCATTTATGTTATAAAAGAGACTAGAATAAATATTATAATTGTAAACATCTATAAGTGTATCCATATGCTTCCCCGCTATATTAAAGAGAGTCGCTATTACAATTTTGCTTTTAATAAATAACCGAAGAACGTTATAAACGTTCAATTATCTATTTTACAAAAACGATATCGAGTGTCAAATTATAATTAACACGGATTTCATTATCGACGCGGGAACGGGCCGGGGTGCCCGAAAGCCTGACTACCGCCCGAGTCTAAGGCCGCTCGGCTGTTAAAAGAGCCTTCGTACGGGACAAACTCGACTCGCGCGAGTTGTCACCTATCAGTTACAGTTGAAAAAAATTTCTTTTCGAAATTAACCATGATAGATTTATTTAGGAAATTTTCTGCAGAAAAAGAAATCCTCTGTCCGCTCGCTGGGCGACTAGTAGTTCCCGAAATATCGGCAGCTGAGTAGAGAAGAATCCTTTTGCATTCAAAGTTTGATATCTCAAAGCAAATTGAAGCTGAAGAAACGGGCTATGCGACCTATGCATTGGTCTAGCTCGGAAAAACTTCCATGCCCGTAAAGCGAAAAAAAAAATGTAAAAAATTTTGCAAATTTTTTCTTCGTGCTTTATCCAAGGATTGCATAGCTACCGGTGCTCCGAAAAATTTTAAACCAAAAAATTCATAAACTAGAGTCTTCAAGCTTCGGAAGTTTTGTTTTTTTTATTTTCTCTACGACCATTTTTTACTGAAATACAGCATCTTGAAAATCACCAAAAAATTTGGTGAATTTTTTTGTTCCTATAATTTTTGCGAAAAGTGTATAATAAATTATTTTTTTTTAGTTACGTTTTACATTTTAACTTTGTTTTAAATAGCCATTAAAAAAATTTTTTCATCAAATAATTATGATTAAAGGATTTCATATAATGTAAATGAACAAATAGATCTATTACACTGTTGCAGGTTATTTTCATCTCCATTAATTCACATCATAGTTTGCTGTAATTTTCAAAAAATCAATAATGGTCAATTTTATTCTAACTCATACAAGATGTAATAATTTTCAGTTGTTTGTTGTAATCAAACTAAAAAATTTTTATACTAAATGTGGAATTTGCGTCGTTTTTAATTGGCTCATAAAATTATTTTCATTTATAACATTTCGACGTTAAACGAAACGCCTAGATGTAATTTTTAGCAATAAGTTTCTCTAAGAACTTATTCTGGTTACTATTGTCAGCTCCCCGGTTGTTATCAGAAAAATTAGTTTTCGATAAATCAGAAAGCAATGGGCACATATTTTTTTTTCTCGTGATCACTCATATCTGAGTTTCTCATACGGCTAGCAATAAACTTACACATTGTCGCATTTAGTCGCACGTGGGGGCAATAGTGTCAGAAATAGATAGGCAGTATATGTCCTTCGACAATGTATAAGGGATATATTTATGTCCTAAGACACAAAGACGCGAAAACGCGGCACCTCTCTTTCTACCATTAGGCCTATTTCCATATGTTCTAGCAAAGTGCACTGTGTCTACAGCATGGATACTTCTCTCTCTCTCTCTCTCTCTCTCTCTCTCTCTCTCTCTCTCTCTCTCTCTCTCTCTCTCTCTCTCTCTCTCTGAAAATTAAGCACTTGTTTCAGCAGATATAGCTCGTCCGCATTCCATCATGATTTTCGATGATATAACTACTGAAAAGCAGGAGAACTGAAAGCATTCTTCTGTATGAGATATAAAAAAGTAAATAGTTTCTATTTCTGTCAATCGTGCGTTTGCATTCCAAAGCATCTCATTTGAGATAATGTGAATATTAAACACATTTACAATGATCACTTCAACTTAGATATATCTTATCTAGCCGATATTCATAATAATAACGATGCTATAAACTCACGAACGTTGTAAAAAA